TGTGCCACGCCCAACAGAAATACTCCAGGTGGGCGACTTTAAAATCAGGATCTCCTCAGTTGCTAATAGCAATTCCCACCTTGGAGTTTACAAAGTCTTATGGGTAGAAAAGCCACACTAAGTAATTTACTACACCGCAATATGTAAACTAGTGAAAGAGACCTGGAAGTTATGAAAGAGTTGAAGTAAGAGAAATTAGTAAATGATGGAGAGTTCAGTGAACAAGCATGGTTGACAGTGTTGAGTGGCTCAGGAATAAATTCCTTTCACAGTCAAAAAACTAGACAGAGGAATAGAAATGGAAGATTATGCTTCAGTTCAGCAGAGCCACAAGGCACGAATGTCCAGAGACACCAGCAGTCATTTCAGGACCTGCCCTGTCCAGCTAAGTCCAAAGAGGTCATATGTGCTAGTTCTCAAGGAGGCTGGTTTCAGAGAGGGGTGGGATTGGAAAGCTCATGTTCATCAAAGCAGGTAAGTAGATAAGGCAAAGTATTTCTGAAAATGATTTGCTATATGACACAGAAGAGTATTAGAGATTTTGTCTCAATACAGTAGAAGAAATTAGGCCTCTATTAAGGCAGAAATGAAAAAACAGAATGAGATTTTAATAACAAAGGTATCTGGCTAATATAAAAAAGAATCTAAAGAAATTAAGGCAGCCTTGAATGGAATTTCACATTCCAGTGGTAAAGGGGGAAATTGGCATTGCAAAATATCAAATCAGTAGTGTAGACTAGAATAGTGCTTTCAGAAGCTTTGTTCCTAAGAAAGAGAAATAGGTGAAAATGACAGGGAAGTGAGTAGCTCTAGGGTCTGATTGCCTAGGCATAGGGATAGGCTGCACCCTGTGCCACCTTGTGATACTAAAGAAGTTAATTAAGCCTTTTTCTCCTCAGCTATAAAATGAGAATTGTGATATTTCCTATCTTACAGTATTTTTAAGATCAAGTGAGATCCTAAATGTAAAGCTTTAACAGGGTGTCTGATACCTGGTCCCATGTTAAATGCAGTTATTGTTCTTGATAATGAGAGACGATGATGAGTATGAGAATTAGATACTGCCCTGGTATGGGTTCGAAAATTACTTATGCCAGTTTTGAAAAAAGGTTGATTAATTTTCTGTACACCACAGGAGATTATACCTTTTAATGATTAGTAATAATTAACATGCACTTAATTATTAGTAGTAAGTGACAATATATTTTTGTTACTTGCTAAGTGATCTACGTGTTTCATTGTATTTAGTCCTCAGAACCATCCCATAGAGGGATGGTGGTTGTTGTTAGATGCTGTTGAGTCAGCTCTGACTCATAGCAACCCTGTACACAACAGAACAAACCACTGCCTGATCCTGCACCATCCTCACAGTCTTTGCTGTCCATCTCATTGAGGGTCGTTCCCTTGTTCACTGCCCCTCTACTTTAACAAGCATGATATCCTTCTCCAGGAAATGGTCCCTTCTCACAACATGACCAAAGTAGATGAGACCAAGTCTGGCCATTCTGCTTCCAAGGAGCGTGCTGGCTGTACTTATTCCAAGGCAGATTTGTTCATTCTTCTGGAAGGCCACGGTATTTTCAGTATTCTTCACCAGCACTGCAGTTTGAAAGCATCACTTCTTCTGTTTTCCTTATCCGTTGTCCAGCTTTCTCATGCATATGAAGCTGTTGAAAATACTGTGTCTTAAGTCAAGCATGTCTTAGTCTTCAGAGTGGCTTCTTTGCTCTTTAACAATTTAAAGACGTGTTTTGCAGCAGATTTGCGCAGGGCAGTACATCTTCTGATTTCTTCTGCTATTTCTATGGGTGCTGATTGTGCATCCAAGTAAAATGAAATCTGAAAACTTAAATCTTTTATCCGTTTATCACGATGCTGTTTATTGGACCACTTGTCTGTCAGTTTGTCGTACTGTAGTGGCTTGTGTGTTGCTGTGAGGCTGGAAGCTATGCCACTGGTATTTAAAATACCAGCGGGGCCACCTATGGTGGACAGGTTTCAGCAGAGCTTCTAGACCAAGACAGACTAGGAAAAGCACGGGGCCATCCACTTCTGAAAGAAGTTGGCCACTGAAAATCTTATGAATAGCAGTGAAACACTATCTATTATTGGAAAACTTTATGAATAGCAGTGGAAACATTGTCTGATCCTGTAGGATTTGTTGTTGTTATGTGCCGTCAAGTCCGACCCGACTCATAGCGACCCCACCTTCGATTTCCGAGGCAGTATCACTACAGAAGTAGATTGCCCCATCTTCCTTCCGAGGAGTGGCTGGTGGGTTTGAACCGCCAGCCTTCTGGTTAGCAGTCAAGTGCCTTAGCCACTATGCTACCAGAGCTCCCTCCTGTACGGTAGGTGCTGATATTAATTCCCATCTTACAGAAGAGGAAGTTGAACCTTACTGTGATCAAGCAGCATCCTCAAGTTCATACAGCTGTAAGCAACTAGTAAGCACTGGAACTGAGATTCATTCCAGACAGTCGGACGCCAGAGTCCACACTGGGTTATAATGTCACTGAAAAGTGATTGGATTACCTAGATCCTTTAGACACAGCATCTGTCTCTTAGAAATTCCTGCGTAAGAAAATTGATTTTCCTTTTTTCCATTCTGTTTTTCCTAAATTCCACATTGATTATGTTCGTTTTTCTCTACATCTATACTGAGCTGATGATACATGGTGGTTAACCCTAATTGTGCTTGAATATTTTTGGTTTCTCCATAGCAGCCAGTTTTCAAATCACTTCATTTTTACTAGTTTCTCTTCTAAAAGTGTTTTTTTCTTGCCCTTTTCTCATAAAAAGGAAAGGCAGTTCCTTTCTGTAGCTTCTTTAGTACTGGTTACATACCTACCCTTTAATAGTATTTATTATTAGCTTTCATCTGGAACAAATTATTAATATGAGAACTATATTTATGGGTAATGTTACTGTGCTTAATAAAGATAATTACTTCCTGCCATTAATCCTGTGTCTTTTAGACTTGCTAGTATAGTATTCTAGAACAGAATTTTAGTATTTATGCTAAGTTTATTGACAAGATAAGTTATTTGTGGGAGATGCATATGAGTCCTCAGAAGTCTCTCTGTACCTTTTGTTTTGTCAAGTATTTTAGATTGATTATGGACATGTCATTAAGGCTCTTTAATTTATACTCTTTTCAGCTCATTCAAAACAATGCAGTGACAGCTGCAGGCTGATTAAAAATAAATAAATAAACTTGACCACATACTTATTTTCATTATTAGACTAACATCTGAATGTGTGGAAGAGAGTCGGATTTTGTTTAAAAGAAAAATTGTGAACGTGTTTATTGTATTGTATTACTTTAGGAGTTTATATAAACCTGTGCTGCAAAGGTAAGTAGTTTCCATTACCAAGAAGATAACTTAAAAGCTATAATTTTGGTGGTGATGCACCAAAGAAATGGAGAGCACCATTCATAGTTTTTAATATAATTTTTTAAAAATTAATCTCACTTGTGCTTTCATTCTCTGACTTCAGATTGTCAGGCAATTGTTATACAGTAAAACCTGTGAAAGCCAGAACCTGTGTAAGGCAGAAACCAGTTAGAGAAGGAAAATTCAAACATTTTCCACTAATAGCCATAGAAAAGTGGTAGGACTGGTAAGACTGCGGCCTGTGAAAGGCGGAAGACTTGCAAGACCCAGAAAAACTGGGCAGTCCCTTCAGATCTGCTGTCACAGGTTTTACTGTAATACTGAAATCTGAGAATTTAGTGCAGGCATGTATTTAGCAAGTCTCCTTACATTTGTAAAGGTTTAAGAATACTAACTGATTAAAGTATACTTTCAGTAAAAGACTAGCAAGGTCATTACATTTTGAGGGAAATTTCATATGATACTTAATGTATCCCACTGCCATCAAGTCCTTTCGACTCATAGTGACCCCCCCAGTTGGGTTTCCAAGGCTATACATCTTTACAGAAGTAGATTACCTCATCTTCCTCCCTCAGAGCAGCTGATGAGTTTGAACCACCAACCTTCTGGTTAGCAGCAAGAGACACCAATCCAGTTCCAGTGGGTGTAAGTAAGGTGAGGAAGTTGTGTGAACATTGCACACGTACAAACTGCACATGAATAGCAATGATACGTTGTGTTGCTAATGCTCTTGATCAGTTGCAAATGTCCTTCACACTTCTTATCTCATTTAACTAACTCTACAGCAATCATGAGAGACTAAGTCCATATTATCATCATCCCAGTTTTAGAAAGAAGGAAACTGAGGCTTATTGAGGCTAAGTGATTTACTCCAAATCCCAATGTGAATCTAAAAATGATAGTATAGTACACAAAAAACTCTTGATTATTGGTTAAACAGTTTCAGTTAAACTGTATCTGAGATGATTTCCAGTGTAGCAACTTTGCTTTTTTTAAAAATGGGGTTATTTTATGAATAACCTTTAACTCGTGATTGTGAAGAAAGTAAATTGTAATATAAATGTATTAGAATGGCACCATGTTCATTCTTCCTCTCCTCTTCTCCTCACTCCCAAAATTTAGTTTAATAAGGAAACATTCATTCATTTATCACATATATACTGAGATGCATGTAATTTGTCAGAAACTATTTTAGGGCTAATGAAGTGAAAGACTTTCCTGTCCTTCAAGGAATTGAAGTCGTATTGAGAGATAGTCTTAGTACATGATAGATACTCAGTACTTATTGGAATAAATAATCACTCAGATGATCATTTAAATTATATGTGTCATAAAGTAGAAGAGCAAGACATGTAGAAGGAAAAGAATTAGAATGATGTCAGTACTTACAGAGATTTCATATAATGTCAGTACAGTGGAAATATTTTATTTCATTCAGTAGGTATCGGCTGCAAGGTGTCAGGCATGTGGAATACAGAAATAAGTAGGCTATTGTCTGTATCCTCATGGGGAGGAAAAATGCCAAAAAACGCAGCTTACCCATCACTATGCTCTCTGGTATCAGTGAAGACCTATCACATTTTTACCTAATTATCACAAATCAACAGGATATGGAATATAGACAAGGGGCAGGAAGACAGGGAAAAAAGAGAACAAGCTGTGTTCTGACTTGGGCTGGAGATGTTCAGGAAACTTGTTCCTGATAACAATGATTGGTGTAAAGATTGTAGTTTCAAGATTACTAAAAACTCTTCTTAACTATGCATAGTATAAAAATGGAGGCAGTAAATTAGTTTATTTGCCGACTGACAATTCAGAATGATTTCTCTTTATTTTAACAAATGTACTGCGTACGCTTCTTTTGCAGTAGAGAATGAATGTCCAGAGGGTAAAATGTTTTCTATACATTTGGAAAGGCTTTATGGAGAAGGCCTCTGATTAATCTGTACCTTCTTTGAAAATTGATGATTACATCACTCATCTTTATATCCCTAGTACCTAACAAAGATTGAATAAATGCTTGTTTAAAAAATTCTTATATATTCAGCAATTAATCCAGATCTTGAAAGATTAACGTTAGTGTCCTTATTTTTTTTAGATAAAAGAATGATTGTTCAGGTACCATAAATTCCACCTATTTAAAATGTGAAAATCGATGGTTTTTAGCATATTTATAGAGTTGTACAACTTTCACCACCGTCAATTTTAGAATATTTTGTACCCCACCCCACCCCTGCAAAAAAAAAAGAAAAACATACCTTGTAGCATTGTCCTAGATTAAATCATGTCCCAAAAAAATATGTGTTGGTTTGTCTGGGCCATGGTTCTCATTGGGAGTAATGTAATGATAGTATCTGGCAGTTATGTAATGATGTAATCATCCCCCATGATGTGATCTGATGGGGGGATTAGGGTAGGATGCAACACTGTTAATCACATCACAATCCTGGGATGTGGCCTACAGCATCTGATCTTACAAGAAATAAATGGTGAGAGAAGCAAAAAGAGAGAAAAGGACCTACTACCACCAGGCAAGAAGAACCACAAGTGGAGGGTGTCTTTTGGACCCAAGGTCTCTGTACTGGGAAACTCCTAGATCCAGGGAAAGATTGATGCCAAGACACACGGAGATCTCCAAGGCACACTTGACCCACAGATGTTGAAAGGAGACAAGGACCTTTCCTCAGAGCCAACCAAGAAGACCTTCCTGTAGAGTCAGTGCCATGAATTTGGATTCCTACCCTCCTAAACTGCAAGAGAATAAATTTGTGTTTGTTAGAGCCATCCTACTTGTGGTATTTCTGTTATAGCAGCACTAGATAATTAAGAATTTGGTACCAGAAAAGTATGTGCTACTCTATGAGATACTTCAAATGTGGAAGTGATTTTGGAATTGGATAATGAGGAGAGGCTCTAAGAGTTTAGCTCTGGTGATGTAGTGCCTAGGGCATTTGACTGCTAACCAAAAGGCTGACAGTTCAAACCCACCAGTCACTCCTAGGAAGGAAGATTGGACAATCTACTTCCATAGTGATACGACCTCGGAATCCCAAGGAGGGGTCTCTGTGATTCGGATCCGACTCAACAGCAGTGAGTAGAGTAATAGTAAGACAGTGTTTCACTGCTATTCATAAAGTTTTTACTGGCCAGTTCTTTGAGAAGTGGATGGCCTGCCCTTCTTCCAAGTTCGTCTTAGTCTGGAAGCTCTACTGAAACCTTTCCACCATGGGTGACCCTGCTGGTATTTGAAATACCGGTGGCATAACCTCCAGCTTCACAGCAACATGCAGATCACCACAGTATGACAAACTGACAGAGGAGTTTGCAGCCACAGTGGCTACAACGAAGGGCTCAAGTATAGCAAGGATTGTGAGGCTGGCACAGGACTGGACAGTGTTTTGTGCTGTTGTACATAAGGTTCCCATGAGTTGGAGCCAACTCAGTGGCACCTAACAACAACATTAGTAAAAGATCTCTTTAAAGTGATGAAAAGCAAAGATGTCACTTTGAAGACTAAGGTGTGCCTGACCCAAGTTGTGGTATTTTCAGTCACCTTATATGCATGTGAAAGCTGGACAATGAATAAGGAAGACCAAAGAAGCATTGATGCCTGTGAATTATGGTGTTGGTGAAGAATATTGAATATACCATGGACTGCCAGACAAATGAACAAATCTATCTTGCAAGAAGTATAGCCAGAATGTTCCTTGGAAGCGAGAATGGTGAGACTTCATCTCATGTGCTTTGGACGTGTTATCAGGAGGGGCAAGTCCCTGGAGAAGGACATCATGCTTGCTAAAATAGAAGGTCAGCAAAAAAGAGGAAGATCCTCAATGAGATGGATTGACACAGTCAGGCTACAACAGATGGGCTCAAGCACAGCAATGATTGTGAGGATGGCGCAGGGCCAAGCCGTGTTTCATTCTGTTATATGTAGGGTTGCTATGAGTCAAAACTAACTTGATGGCATCTCACAACAACAATAGTAAAAGCCTAGATTACCTTGAAGAAACTGTTGGTGGAATTTTGTACTTCAGACAGTTCTCATGAGAGCTCATAAGGAAATGAGAGCTGTAATACCGGAGGCAACAGAGATGGTGAGAAACAGTGGTAGAGAAATGGCAGCAGCAGAACAAAAACTCCAGTGTGAAACAGTGCAGGAGCCAACCCCCAGAGTGAGAGAGTTGAATGCCTTCAAACAGCACTCTTCCTGATTGAGTAGGGTGCCTCTAGGCACTTGTCAGCAGAGTTAGCCTTGCCAACCCATGGAATGAGAAAGCTGCACACCTTCAGGCCAAGGTTTATTGGCAGAGTGGGTACCTCCAAGTACTTATTGGTAGCACTAAAGAGCTTTGTCACACTTGTCTGAGAAGGGCAGAGGCCATGCTGGCCTCTCAAGAGACCAAGAAACCAGGAAGTAGAAGAGACATGGAGCACAGGAAGCAGAGCTGCCTCAGTCTCAGTGGGTGGGACCACAACGTGTGGAGTTTCGAAGGGTGGAGCTACCATGGCCTGCTGGATTTTGAAGGATGATGCTAGGGCCTTCTGTGTTTCAGAGGGTCCAATCTTCACCAATTCAGTTCTGGAATGTAGAGCTGCCATACACAAGTACCAGGGAATGGGCCCATATCCTCTGCCCGAAGCTGAGGAGGCGGGGCTGCCATTCTCAAGGGGCAGAAGAATGGAGCCTGTTGGGGTCAAGGGAGTAGGGTCACCACTCAGATAGACTAAGAGGAAGGCACCGCCCAAAGCCAAGGGAGTTGAGTTGCCATCCCAGTGGTCCTGGATGCCAGAACTGACGTCCAGGGCCACGGGACCTCAACCCAGAATCCAGAGAGCGTGGTCAAGACCCAGAGTCTGGAGGGCAGGGCCATTGCCTAGATAGTCTCAGAGAGCAGAGGATTATTTTTGAGACTCAAGAGCTAGGTTTTGGGCTTGCTTGGTGGCCGTTACCCTTT